CAAATCAACGGTTACTGACAAAACAGGGATATGAGGTTGGTCTCCTCATTTTCACAGAACTTCTTGAATTCGAAAGAATTCAATTTTTTTCTAGACATTACGGGAAATTATCTACGGGGACTATCGTGGCAGCAATGGAGAAGTGCTTTTGCAGCCTAAAGATGGGTCAGAATCAATAGCTTTGAAATTTAAACGGTTGTCATTGTAGATGCAATAAAGACTGAAGATCTTTTCATAAAGATTGACGATCTTTCTTTCTTTTTATTTGTTGCACATGAATTGTACACACTACAGCTCTGCTTATAGGCAAGTTAATACTTAGAAAAATCTTTATCCTCACAAAGACTACATCTAAGAAGTCGGAACACGATCCCATATGAGAGCATTTTTAAAATCTCACACTGCAGCAGAAGCCATTATAGACACCCTCACTCGGTCAACGGCATCATGGTGAACTAACTTTTCCTTGATTCTCATAGTGCCACCTATTAACAATATTTTTATTCTGAAAGCTAGTATGATCAGCCAGGAACCTACCAGAATGTGACTGGAAGCATAACTGAGCGAAAGGGTTAGATATTTGAGCATCCGGTGGCTTCCAACTTTTGTGCAAACAATAGAGGTAGAACTCATTTTCAACGCACAGTGCGGGAAATGCGGTACTTCATGTGCGGTCAGCGGTCCGCCTTGTGTTACACGAGAAACAGGAGGAAGCCAAAAACCATATAAGCTGAACCTTTAGGGTTACTCATCAAGTCTGCTCTTTGTTGAGCCATTTAAACTCGCGTTGCAAAGTGAAGCTGGGCATGCCAGCTAATTGATAGATAGAAAACGTCCTGAAGTAGTCTAATATACCGAACATATTTCATCACTATATTTGTTGGAAGAAATCTTCGCTGTAGCTAGTCAGTGATCCAGAAAATCAACTTTCAATGTTTACTTCGATTGTTGTAATGCTTAAAAGAGATTAGAAGAATAATGCAATAGCTGTCGTATGTACACTATGAATTATACAGACTTATGTGGTGATCGAAATTTACAAAGACATAAGACA